TTCCCCACCCATTTTCTTCGGAATTTTTATTGTGTGTAGAGAGAGAGAGAGAGAGGGAAAACCAAAAACTGTAACCGAGTTATCAACATTTTGACAGCTTCAATTGTGGAACGGCAACGGCAACGGCAACGGCAACGGCAACAAGAGCAACATCAACAGAATTATGCACACAGAAACAATAAGCGGATTTGGCCAGCAGAATTGTCGCATTTTAAGTACTTGAAACATTTTCAACCGTTTCAAAACTTTTGATGACCATTTACCATATTATTTGTGATTTAAAGTGGCATTAAATTGGGATTTAAATATTTTCAAATAGTTGACAGAGTAGAAGGGAAAGAGAATTGTTTTAATTTGGAAAAGGCATTATTCAACTAGGAACTCTATTTAGAGACGTTGCTGGTGGTTAAACCCATTGAAAGTGCTGCTAGTTCCTCCTTCTAAACCTTATTCCATTTACCCCATGACTTGTACTTAAATTTCGTTCCTAATTCCCCGTCAAATAATGAATTTAATGAAGTTTCAATTATGCAAAGTTGACACCATTCATTCAAAGGTGCAATGGGAATCCCTTAACAATCTCTGTGTAAACTCCTGCCACAGACCAAATCAATCACTCAAAATAGCTTTGATTTTGTCCAAGTTTGGACAGGAGACTGGCAGCTTCATCCACTAAATAAAGTTGGTCCTGTGGAGGAAAAACAATTTGTAGAAAGACCAGAATGAAAGGTAATTTCATTGCACCGCTGCTTAGATACTCTTTGTAGATGGCAGATCTTAAGCTGGCTTTTTTAATTGTGTATCAGAGTGTGGCTTTCCAACCACATCCATTCCCTTTGCAACCATCAATCAAAAGTCAACTTTTGTGCAACAGTTTCCTCTTGTCCTCATCCGATCTTGAAGCATTTTTAAACTGAGCTTTCTGGGCATATACATTTATTAGAATTTATCCAGAAATTCATAATCATAATCAAAATTTGCAGCTTTAATAACAGAATTATTATCATTGCCGGGGCAGACGAGCAAACACATTGCCAAAAAATCATCTTCCGCCTAATGGATTTGTCTGGTAGGAAGATGGTGGCAGGCCTGTGGGCGGGTATTCCCTTGATATAGAGTTAAGGCAAGCTGCCACCACAGCAAAAACACACATGTGGGTGCCTGTGTGTGTGTTGCCACTTTGAGTTAATTCCCTTTACTTGGTCGTAAACTTTACGCATTCACTGTAATCAAATTTTATGAAAATGCTCAGCCAGAGAGAGAGAGTCTGAATTTTCTTTGGCTTTTCTTTGGAGGAGCATGCTGTGTATGTGTGTGGGTGTATGGCTGGTGGGTGCACTTTAATGTCTTTTCTGCGGTAGAGTTTGGTTTTTCGGATGGATGGTTCGTGGTGGGAAGACAGACGTTGTTGGGGGCTTTGCTTTGAGGCTTGTGAATGAAAATTTTGCGGCATAGATAATTAAATAATAAATTGTTGTAATGTCTACATTTGGCCCTCGCCGTCAGCCCTCCCACCACCCTGTTGCTGCTGCACTGTGGCTGAAAGACCATAAATGATTTATATGCACATTGAATGCGTCGACAATAGATTTAATTTAACGATGTCTTGGCGACGATGATGATGGCGATGTCGCCATTTTGGCTTCACTCCATTCTCTCTTTCTCATTTCGTTTCGTTTCGTTTCGTTCCGGCTCTCTCCACCCACCCACTCCTCATAGAGGTAATTACGCGTATATGTGTTTGGGAGGTTTGGGTTTATTTTTGGGGGCAGGCAGTGTGACATCTAACAGGCGAGGCAACATCAATATTCCTTCCTTCATTCCGCATATTAAATCTATGTCATTTTATATAAATTAATTTCGCCAATGACATTCGATGTCTGCCTGTTGGGTGCAAAATGGATTATCGACATGATACATGTGACGGATACTCGTACTCATAGCAGGGTGGAAATTGTATTAACGGGGCCATGACATCTAAAGGAATTGAATTTACATGGGAAAAATGAATGGGGACTTAAAGGAGTTTTGTGTGTATTTTAGTTGCCATAAATGGGTTTTCTTTCTTGATGGTTGGCATCATTCCTTATTAATTAATCACTTTTATCATAATTTTTCCTTATATTTTCATTAATAGACCCTCAAAATCGCATAAAACCCATTCAAATTTCCTTAATTTACCCATTTATATTAATTTCAACTTTAAATCTTGATTTTACATCACTCAATTTCAACGTTTTGGTATTTGTTCGGTGGTGGGAGGCAGCACTTGAATTGGAATTCCTCGTTACCCAAGGCTGAGCAATTACCGACTGCAATTTGATTGAATTTAAATTCTCGAGCTTGCCTCGTGCAGGGCCCGGCCCTTATCTCAAAGTCATCCCTGACAACATTTCTGCCTTTCTGCCTTTTGCTATCCAGGCGCCTCCCGGACTCTGCTCGTCCTTGGGCGGGTCATAAATTATCCTTAGATCACGCGCCAACAAAAGCGCCTCCAACACTCTGCTTCTGCTGGTCCTGCTGCTGCTGCTGCTGTTGCTGATGCTCTTGTTTTTTTTTTCTTGCGTGTTCTGTTGGTTAGGTCCGACTTACGCAGTGACCTATACAATGCATTCCGTTAGAAAGATGGTAGATGGTAGCTTGTAGGTGCCTCCCCTTCGCCGCTCTCCATTTTTAACTAGCTTGAATTCCAGGCAGTCACATGCCGCCCGCCCACCGGCCAGACCACCCAGCGTAAACTTGATGGAAACGGCTGACATTTCACTTTCTTGATGCGATTACGCAGCGGGGAACGAAACGTCTCAGCGACAGAGTGAGCGTTAGCGTTAGCGTCAGCGCCAACGCCAGCCGCCGCAGCCTCCACCACTCTAACTGCAAATTGCTTACGGTCACGTACCAGCAGGCTTCTTTCTCCCTCTCTCTCTGTCTGCATTCGTTCCTTTTTGCTGCTGTTGCGCGACAAGAATTTTTTCTGCATACCCTTGAAGAGGGTATGATAGTTTGGAGAAAACTGTTAACACTGCAAAGGGTTTTGAAGAGAAAATCCGGATATATCCCTTCTCTATACATTTGCCTAATATTTGCAAGGGTATCCAACGATTCGACTCCCAAAGGCAACTAACTTTTTTGTTACAGCTCACAAGTGTGTGAGGTGATGTCGCATTGAGAGAGTGTGGAAGAGTCAGAGAGTAAGCGTTGTGGAGTGGGAACAAAAGGAAAATGGTGCCAAACTTAATGAAAATACCAACGCGTGTCGTCATTTTGGCCGCAGAGAGGCTGTAACGGTACTCACTCTCACTGGTAGCTCTCTTCCTGTCCACCCCTTGCGCTATACAACCTTCACTACCCTTCCTTCCGCACTCATTCCGATGTATGTTATTTTTTCCGCACTGTCCCATCCGTGTGCGTGGCCGTGCGTGTGTCTATGTATTGGCATTTATTTGATTTCTTGCTCCATTTTTCTTATATTTTGTTGCTTTTTCTCTGTTTTGAGATCATTTGCATATCTCGATAGTGTCATTAAATTTGCATATTTAAGATAAATTTAAATTCCTTGCATGTTTTGTTGTAATCTCTTTCGGCTTTTTGGCCTTTTTTTTGCAGCGTTCCAATTTCATTTCGTTGTCGCTCTGCCCTTGATTCCACTTCATCCATTTTTGCTCGTTCTTCAAATTTTGTTGTTCTTATTGCAAATTTATTGTTCTGTAGGCAAAAAGGAAAAACAATATGGAGTGTGGGTATGGTTCATGCGGAACATTGTTTACAGACTGTCTTCATATGGGGAGGGGCGTTCATGGGTGTTGGGATTGAAGTGGGAGGAGCTTTACATTGTGTGGGAGTCTCTCCATCTCTCTCTCTCTCTCTCTCTGTATCCGTCTCCCTGTTTTTTTTTTTTGTCGTCATCATGCATCATTTGTTTAGTCCCATAGTCCTTTGTGATGTGCCAAAAGCTGAGGGGCACAGATGGTAGGAGGTGTGGGGGTGGTGTGGGGGTGTCGGATGATGCGTGGGTTGCTGCTTGCGAGGGAGTGTCACACTTTTATGTCTCGCACTTGTTGAGAATATTAATTTTATTTAAATATTTCAAAATGAAGACAAAGTTGCTTGGGTTGGCCATTTTGGTTTATGTATGCTTTTGGTAGACTGTATTTTGGGTATTTACTTAATGAACTGAACCAAATGGGATAAACCCCAAACCCAATTACCGCTGGCAGATGGATGAACTGGATAAGAATGCGACAGTAGTAGCTAAATTCATTCATTCATCAAAAACTTTTTTTATTTTACCATCCCTCAGCCTTACAATTTTGCATTCTAGTTAACTTCTGCAAAAAGCACACTCAAATCAATCAGCTTCAAACAGGTGATTAAAATGCCTGCAGTCGGCAAAGCCGGAATAAAGCTACCACCTGCACAAAAAGCCCTTTGCTACGTCACTCGAGCGCTCTCTCTCTCTCTCTTGCTCAGCCACCGATAAGAGTTCGTTTTTGCACGGGTTGCGTCTCTCCCAGTTTCATTGCTAGTGTTTGCCATTTTCCTTTAGTTAATTGTTTAAATTTATATTCGCGCCGTGTTTCCATATCAGTGGCAAAAACAACAGCAAAAACGGGAAAGGCACACATAACCAACGAGAGTGGCGCAGAGCGGAGAGAATTTCGCTGCTTTGTTTGCCGGCAACGAAAACGAAACGAGCACCAGAGAGTGGCAAGCATGAGGGAGAGAGATAACGATTGGCAAAGTAAATTTCGTTTGCGCTGCTCAAGGTATAACACATAAAAGGTAAAACAGTAGCGCTGTCATTAGTTGTGTAATATATAGCCATCATATTTTGACTTCCAATTGTCACATGCCTTTCCAATACGCCAATTAATATTTTTACTGTAACTATCGTACGAGCTCTACCTGTCACTGTTTCACCTTCTGTTGAATATACCCTGGCTTGCGTTTGCTCTCTCTGTGCCATTCCTCTCATTCCTCTTCTTTGCAAACGATTCCCGTCGCCGTCGGTTGTGAGTGTGTGGTTGCGCTTTCTTTCGTTTTTTGGTCTGCGCAAACTTATTTTCGCGTTGTAATAATTTTGCATAAATATCGCAATTCGATTGCCATTAAATAACAATAACAAAAAGCGTAGAGCGCTTCGAAATATTAAGACCCCAAGCATTCAGAAGTTTGGAAGTAGCTACATAACTGTGAAGTGCAAAGTGCGGGTCTCTCTGTCTTCGTCGCTGTCTCTCTGTTTGTGTGTGCGCGCGCGTGAGTTCGTCGTTTGTGTGAGTGTGTGTGTAAATGGTCAAATAAACGCTGAAAGCAGAACGTGCAACAAGAAGTAGCAGCAACAAGAAGCAACAGAGCCGCCGAGCACCAGCTGACGAGAATTGAAAATTCCAATAACAGTAAGCAGAAAAAAGCAACAACCTTTGGAAGCCCCGCCGCAGCGCTTGCTGTCGTAACAAATAATCAAACTACTACCGCAACAGAAAAGATTCCCATATTCCAGCTAATTGTCATTGTGTTAGTTGTTGCTGGTGTCGTGTCATTGCACTCGATATATTCGATAATGCAGCAGCAGCAAACACACTAATTTGTTGCATTCGCGGCGCTGTAGGTGTGAAAATTCAGAAAATTGCATAAAAATACATAAAGAAGAACAGCAGCAAAGTGCAAGAGAGATGCAGCCCACGAGAAGAAGCGGGGCTAGGAAAGTGAGAATGAGCAGCAGCAGCAGCAGGAACAGCAACAGAAAATATCTCTGGCGCGGCAGCACCAGAAGCGGAGGCAGTGCAAACACAGTGTAAAAGAAAAGCAGCGACAAAAACACAAAGAAGAACACAAATAAAAACAAGAACAAGTTTGTAGGGGATGTCGAAGTGTTGATACCCTTGCATTGAGTTGGTTTGGTTGTTAGGTATAGAGTACATGATACGAAATATAACTTTTTTTGTACATAAAATATCTATGTTGTGTATATACATATATGCTTATCAAGAATATATAGACTTCAAAGTGTTGACCATGGTTTCTCCTCAACATTGCCAAAAATGTGCCGAAAAAATTAGACTATTTGCAAGGGTATCTTCCAATAAGCAAAAATGAAACGGTATTGTGCTCTCAATTGCGAGAGAATGAAATAGAATGAACCGCAGCTTAAAGTGGATTATTATTTAATCAGAGATTAAACAAACAAAAAAGTGAAATGAAGGATAAACGTAATTATTGAAATCTTATCAAACGTGCGCAAATAATAATTTATTTTCGTTTTGCTCACTTGTTGTCGTTGTGTTTGCCGGGTGCGTGCTCTCCCTCTCTTCCTCGCTGGCTCTCTCATCAGTCAGCTGCAGCAGCTGTCAAGTGTACTTTTGCTCTCTCTGTCTGTCTCCCTCTCCCATTTGCTTTTGCTGCTGTCATTGTCCTTTTGGCGTACTACTGCAATTTTGTATTCCAAAATAAAAATAATAATTTACCAAGAACAAACACAACAAAAACTAGAAAGGTTGTAAGCCCAAACTGAAACAAAAAAGGGGAAAGCAAACGGAAAAGGAGAACAGTAATAATTGTCCAATAACAAATAATAATTTGCAATAGAATAAATTTGTACCAGTGCTTGCTTCAATATAAATTGTTTGTCCCTCTCGCTCTCTCCCTCCACTCGTTCCCCCGTTCAGTATGTGTGTGCGTGAGTGAGACTGCATATGAGTGGTGCTTGTGTGTGCGAATGTGTGTGAGTGATGTCTGGCCCCGTAAAAATAAAAACTACGGCTGGCTGTGTGCTATTTTTAAGTTGTGTGCAAATGTTGCAACTGCCCCGCGGGATGCACTAATGCCAGTGTTGGTGGGGTTAAGGTAAGAGGGGAAGGTGCCACAAAGTGCTAAAATAACTCGATGCCGCATAAAGCGGCACTGAGAAATCAACAAAGTTGCACTCTCAGAGTCGGGTCAGACGGCGGGGCACGGTAGCCAGCAACCAAGTATAATATTAATTACAAATTAGACGATCTGGAGGTGGTGCCGGAACAGAAGAAAAGGAACCAGAAAACAAAAGAGAGCAAAGAACATGTGTCAGAACGAAGGAGAAAGAGAAAGAGAGGGATGGAGAGCAAATTAATGATGGTGCAAATGTGCAGTAGTGTGTGTAGTCTGGGGACAGTGCTGCCGAGTTGCAGGCAGTAGCAGTAGAATGGCAGTAGAAAGTTCAAGAAATTGAAGGAAATAGCAATTTAGTGTTGGAAATCTAATAAATATTGAAAATCAATACATTTTAATGGCTGCCCTTTCCTTTTAAAACACTTTTCCTTAATTATCGGGTTTCTCTTCTCTTTGCAGTCGCGAGTGTAAATCGAAAGTGTATTTAACGAATTTATAGGAACAGAAGTAAAATAATCCAAGAACTTACAATGCATCCGCGCTATAGCCCTGGACCGCCGCACCAGCCGCAGCAGCAACAAATGGGCGGAGGAGGACCCCACCAACAGCAGGGTGGTGGAGGAGGCGGAGGTGGTGGGGGTCATATGAGAGGTGGAGGACCTTCAAACTCCCAGCAATTGCCGCCACAGATGCCACGATCACAGAATTATTCGAACGTAAGTAAATAATTATTATAAAATGTATAATTTTAGATGAATATTTATGGGTGGAAAATCTGTAGAAAGCTTTTGTCGGGGGTTCTTTTATTTGAAGTTTTGGAAATCCATTCCCATGGCATTCAAGCAACCAGTCACCATCAATCAAGGGGCGCCATGCATCAGTCAAGCATTCAAACAACTCACTCACACACACACCAAACATTCGCTGGTTCAGTCAATCGTTCATTCAAATCACACTCAGATACGGGGTCCTTCACTCTACATCATTCCTGAGCGATGATTCCTGATGTCCCGCACGCTCCCCTGCTGACTGCACTGCCAATAGGAGGCGCCACGCGGTACTGCAATCGACATGTGTCATACACAGACACATCCATCCATCGGAGAGATGTAGAGAAGAAGGCATTTGAGTGGAAAATTGCTCCCGCTGATGCGGCGGCTACGGCCTGGCAATGATATGGATTTCTTACCCAACCATTCCCGCCATCAATTTGCTGACAGTTGCAGTTGCCCCTAATCCTAACCATTGAGAGAGAGAGAGGGAAAGAGAGTCCTTGCTTCCCATTACACCTGGATAAATCATTATTCACACACACGGGTGTGGGTGTGGGTGTGGGAAGCCCCAAAAGAAAGACCATTTCCCTTTTGCTAATTTCAATGAAATTACATTCTCTTTTATGTGGGCTGTGCTGTGTGTGGGTGGCACTGCATTGTAATATTTCCATCATAATTTATGCATTTGCTTTCTAAAAAACCAAACTAAAATGAAAAGAACATGAAATGGTAACAACACAAAGGCAACATTTTCGTAAGTAGTCGTTCTACCACCTCCACTCCTCCCTGAAGCCCTACGAATTCTGTTTTAACTGCGTAACTACCTCAGGAATATCTGATGTGGAATATTTATGTAGCTTTTTGAGGGATAAATTCATATGAATTCCTGCCAGAAAGCATAGATCTCATTTTGAAGAGCTTCTTGCAACCATCGCTTGTGCGTTAGAGTCCGATCATCAAGGGGCGGTGCTCAGAAGCAAAAAAAAACTCGAATAAGTCATATTGGATACAATTCTTTATATTTACCGCTGATTTTGGGGGTATCCTTTAGTCTTTATATCGTAGATAGATCCCTCGTTTTCCTCTTTACATGTATTCCATATAATAAACTATTCAAAGCTGTTGCTGCACAATGCAGGGGGGGGAAGGAATAAGCACCAGGTAGTGGATGGATGTGAAATGGTTGGGCTGAGGCAGCCTTTTGTAGGCAGCAGCATCTATTTTGGCCAGCTTCCTTCTAATGGCCAACAGCCGTTGCATGGACCGTGGAGGTCCTTTCATTTAAACAGCTTTCAGCTCTCACACAGCCAACGAACATTTCTCCCTAGCAGCAGCCAACATTCAGACCACATCAAAAAAAAAAAACAGAAAGAAAAATTCGAGTGAAAAAATAGAATAAAAACCCCAGCTACGAGTAGAAAATTGTAAACAGTCGCCGCGCTTAGTCAGCGCCGCACAGTTATTGTGCCTGGAATGAAAATTATATTTCCCATTTTCCATTCTACATGCCAGAACAAAATAAATAAAAGAGGAAACGCGCTGAAGTTTGCTGAAGTTTATGGAGTTTAAGGGAAGATATATTTAAAATTACTTTAGTTCACATTTTGTGTGCTGTTTTTTTTTTGTTGGCCCCTTTTGTATGGTAATGGACGAAAGATTTTGCTTTGTATGGTGGTGGGGTTTCCCCCCCAAGAACTCTGCGTATGGAAGAGTTTTTCCCACCAAAAGAGCAAAGAGCGAAGAGTTTCGCTGGGGAATGGATATTGTTGAGTTTTGTGAAGAGTTTTTGCCAAGTCTGTAGGGAGTTTAGTACGGGAGAAAGTAATAGAAGAGTTTTTTTGGAAGGGCTTTCAAATTGAATCTTTAGTCTTTTAAGTATTTACTATTCTATATTTTGCTATTTTCATAGTAGATAAATGCGTTACATGTCAATTTCTCCATTATATTATTTAAATCATAATCTTCTCATATACATACACTTTTTATTTAACCGTTCTATATTATTGTTCTCAACGAATTTGTTTCGTTATATTTCCCCTGATATTCCAAATTGTTTTTTACCTCAAATTCGGCTGTTTATTGGATCGTAGTTTAATTTTGCTCATTCTGTCGCGCTTTAATATCTTACTAATATATTTCGGTCTATTTCGGTCTTCTTATCACAATCGGTTAACTTTTTTATACTTTCAACAATTATAAAATAGTTCCTAAATTTTTCTGTGAAAGGAAATATAATTTGTACTTTCCTGTCGCTTTTCTCTCTTCGTTTCTCTTTGCATTTACCTGAGTAATTTCTTCTTTCACTTTTTCGGGTGCTTTTCTTGTCGAATTTCTATTGGAGTTTCGTGCCCAAAAAATGTTTTCAAAATAGATAGATATATTTATATACGTATAGAAGGGTCCTGGGTCACGTAGTAATTTGTGATTAAATTCAATGTTGACAATTACGGATGGAAGCGAATGGGCCTGAACGCCAGTACGACAGAAAGTTGTTAAGGTAATTGCGACCGCATACACTCGTAGGCTGAGATGCATTTCAATTGGGAATCGAGGGAGAATTGGGGGAGAATCGGGAATGCGGCGAAAGGAGTAGGGAGTCGTTAGTCGGGAGTCCGGCAATCGTATGCCTCTCGGATTCGGATTCTTTGTGGGGAAGGATAAGGGGTCTAGTCTCGCTCTCTAATGCATGCCGCTGAATGCCGCCCTTTTGGTTGTGCGCCTGCGTCGGCTTGTGGATTCTGCAAACACCCAACAAAAGGCATTTTGCCGGCCTCCGTGAGTGTGTGGCATGCAACGCGGACACGAACGAAGCAGAAAACCGAATGGCGAAACCGAATGACTGCCACATCCTGCTGCTAGAGGGTCGGGTCCAACCTTACTCAATGAGAAATTCAGAATCCATTCGACGATTGTCAAGTTAAGTTACATAAACCGCCTTTTCCTCATTTTGCGCACCAAAAACCAAAAAGCGACGGAAAGCCACGACACCAGAGAGGAGCCTCGACACAGCCACAGCCCCCCAAAAGACCAGAAGAGCCCAGGCAGAAGAGTCTTCAAGCAAAACGCCAAATCGGAATCGAAATCGAAATCCCAGAACCCAAAAAAACCCAAAAATTCCGAAAAAAACATCTGAAAATCCACAGTCTAGACAGAGAAGTCACCAGCCAGACAGCCAGACAGTCACAGGAGGAGTGAGAACAGTGTATGCTCGCAATTTTCTGTGCGTGTGAAAGGAGAAAGGATAGAAAGAAAGTTCTACTATAAAACATATAGAGATTTCCCCAGATTTATTGTGCGTATACGTAATTATCTACGAATCAGTTCACATTCTGTCCATGATATAAGATAATATATCCTATAAATATATTTTACTCGCAAGAAGAATGAAGTGCAAGTGAAGTTTCAGTATTATTTACAAAATATACTAACGAAAATTAACTAAAGATTGCGAAAAATACTGCTCAAAGAAACCCTCAAATAATAAAAAAAATACTACTCAAAGTAGGTCTCCAAATGCAACAATTGTCACCAGAAAGAAAATTCCTAAACTCTAAAAATAAGAGTTAAAAACTCTACCAAAAAAAACTAGACAAAAAAAAAATTAAAAGTGAAGGAAAAACAGTATTATTTTTAAATCAATCTATAAAGAAAACCATAAGCGATAAACAAAGACAATAAAAGTTCTTGAAAATAAAAAACCAAATTAAATTTGAGACATTAGCTTAAAAAATACTATTAAAAATTAACGAAGAAAATACGATAAAATAGTCAAGAAAAACCTAGCTTAATTTGTGAGTGAAAGTAAAGAGATATACAAATAAATTTAGCGAAAAGGAAACTAAAAATTAACAACAAAAAGCAAAAACTTAAATTAGTGAAAAAATAATAAGGAAAAATAAGAAAAAAGCTTAGCTTAAATATTGTGTCATTCTCTGTGTGTGCTTTAACAGTAACTGCAAAAAATAGTATTCCAACATTAAGTGTTAGTCAGTGTTTAGTGTTCGTAAATACGTAGTAAATGTTTTAAGAATAAACAAGAGGAAACCCACTAAAAGTAGCAAAGGAAAAGGCAGGCAGACAGTCGTCGAGAAAATTCCACTCATCGCCCCTCAATAGCCATTAAAATTGCGTCAATCAAGAGAAAAACCTCACCATTGCCGACACCAGCCACATTGCAGCTAACAAATTTTGGCCCTGAAGAGGAACATCAGCAGCAGCAGCAGCAGCAAGGAGCAGAGGCAGCAGCTGCAAGCAGCCAGCAATTGGTGTCAACAGTTGGCCAAATACAAGAGGCAGCCACAGCAATACAAGCAGCAGCAGCAGCAGCAGCAGTAGCGGGAGCAAGTGCAACAGTAGCAGCAACAGCAACAGCACCAGCAGCAGCAGCGGCGGCAACCAAAAACAGCAACAACCCAGGAACAAACAGGAACACATCCCCCATTAATTCTCAGGCTAAAGCCTCGGTCAGCGGCGACAATACCGGAGTCACGACAGAGCAGCAACACTTTTTGAATCCACTACCACCACCACCGCCACCGCCGTCGTCATCGCCACCCCCACCGCCGCCACCGACAGCAGAAGTCCAAGAAGAAGCCACAGCCACATCGAAAGGAAAGACAGGAACAGCAAAAGCAACAGCGGGATCCAAGAATCCAGCGAGAAGTAATCAAAGCACCGGCACCACCACGACGCTGTACACGTGCTCGAGCGCCTCCTCGTCGCTGATTGCCCAACCGCCGCCAACGAAGATATTTAAAACGGATCATCATCAGCTGTGCCTGAACGGTGCCTACGGTCTGCCGACTGCTGCTGTTGGTGGGCATCCCTGTGTCTACTGTGTGATACCTGTGCCCCTGGTGAGTCCTCGTACTTCTTCCTTCTGTTCCTGAAGGACATTTGCATAGCCCTCGCTCTTCGTTCCTTTTTGCTATTTCTTTTGATTTTCCTCATTAAATATTAAAATAATTACGAGGGCAGGCAGTCCCGTCCTCTTCCTTCTTCTTCTTCATTCACATTAAATGGGAGTCCTTTACAGCTGGTCCGCCCTCAATTTTCGTAGCTTTCTGGATGATTATCCTGTTCCGCCGTCACGCGCGGATAGCAGGTCCCTGGTTTTAGGCTGCTTTTGGGTGGTTTCTCATTATCATTTATTATTCGCGTTGTTCACGCTTTTGGATTCACACAAAAAATATATATGCAGGCATCTTTCTTTATGGTTTTTGCGGAGGAGTTTTCAGAGTAGGTTTACTTTTAGATGGGTTTTTGGAATGAGGTTTATGAGGAGAAAGTTTACTTCTTTGGGGTGGAATTTGAGAGAAGGTGATTTTCCCATTGATTGCTTTGACTTGAGTCTTCTAAGCTTAAGGGATTATCAGTTTTACGGTATTTTTTGAGCTAATTTTTGGGAATGAACTGAATTTCTTTTGGCTTTCTTGAAACGTATATTTAAGGAGTGTATTTTGGCTAAAATTTCCTTTTAAAGTTGCGCTTGAAGAGGTTTTATTATAGGTCTCCAATTGAGAAGGCTTTCCCGTTCTATTTTAAAACGAAATTATTAGGATTTATTGTGGGTTTTAAATTTAATTCAAACAGCTAGAAAATTTGGTCTGGTTGTGTGCCAAGGTTTTACAGCGCTTATGGAAACGCTTTTAATGCTTTAATTTTCGGTTTTATGGCTGGAGAGATATTCTAATAAAATAGTCCTAAAAAGGGTTTTATAATCTAATGAAAGTTACATCAAGTTTAGGGGTTTGTTTAATGGAATTTTGAATGAAATTTTCAATTGATATTAACCTAACCCTTCTGACTGCTTTCGCTGTGCCCATTCACCCATATAATGTCCACCCATAATGACAACTTCTTTATGCCTCCTGCCTGTCACCATTCTACCCACTTTCATGAGTGCCTTATCTCCCTCCATTCCTGAGTGGCCCCCACAACAAGTGCCTACCGAAAATAAAGCCAATTTACATACAATTTCTTAGCTTGTAGAACAAATTACAGGAGGGGAGAGGAATGGTGGACACACCCCCGAGAAGTGGCTCTAAGAAATATAACAGCCGGAAAATGTGCGGGGCGGTGGGGAGGAGGAGGAGCTGCGTCAGCTGTTTGTCCACTTAAAGAGTGCCCATGATAATCGACGGCAACAAATGTGCCTAATGTTGGAATGACAATAAAGACAAATTATACAAATATTTGACTAAAATGAGTGACTGAGGTGAGGAATGGAGCAAGAGGGTACGACTTTGACTGCCAAATGGATGGATGGATGGATGGACGGACTGTAAGGAATGATAATGACACTCATTGTGTGGCCAAAGCACAGGGGAAATTTCATTACACACACAAACAAAGACAAAGTGGGGGGAAGGGGGGGGGGGAAATGTGGTGGGTGGGGGGTTTCACGTTGAAGAACTGCCTAAACCAGCACATTTTCCTTCCGATAATTACAACAGAAAAATCAAGCTGGAGAATGACCGCAAATAAATCAGAAATAATAATCATTATTAGCCAGCCCCAAGCGGCGACGGAAGCAGGGTGGTACGGGCAACCAGGGTAACTCCAAAGAAAAGCCACCACAACAAAAATGTTTTCAATTACATTGAAAAGCAGAGAAAGCGCGGAAATAGCAAGCGAGAGAGAGAGAGCGAGTGGGGAAGAGAGTAAAAGGCCAAAGCCCAATGGGAAAAAATGCAACTGAAAAATCTTTTCATATTATTCATTCATTTCCATTGTTGTTTAGGACAGGGTTGGGGTTTGGGTTTTGGGTGGGGCTGTGTTGGCATGTTCCCTCATTGTCCATTTGCCAAGAGTGAAAAATGTTTTTTATTTTTGCTTTCCTTATTATTTTTGTTTATTTTTTTCTGTGCTGCTGCTTTCTTGTACTGCTTTTCCTTAGGTTTTTTTTCTTCCTTTTTCCTTGTCCGAAGATTTATGTAAGGCACTGTCTGAGCCCCGTTCGCCCTTTGCTGCCGTTTTGCTCATTTTGTTGATTTCTAATTAATTTTACTCGAAGTGAAAATGAATTGGCAAACTGCCCTGCAGACAGCATACACGATAAAGGAAGAAAGAAAGAAAATCCTGGAAAATAGCAAAGGATTCGGGTAGGTTTAAAATGATGGGAATTCCTTGGGTTTCGCCTTTTCCAAAAATAATGTCCAGAATGTGCTCTGAGAAAGTAATCTATATTTGGAATTAGGAAATAAGAAGGAAGATTTGGGGCAAAATTGTTGTTAAGGAGAGCATTTAAGATGGGGATTCCAAGGAGTCTAAGGATGGGTTTTATTTGAAAGAGGTTCTACAGATCAAGCAGGAATTTATGGTAATAATTTTAATATGTCGAAGAATACATGAAAAATCTAATAATCTAATATCGTCTACGTTTTCATAGAGGAATAACTTTAAAACGTTGAAAATCCGTTTTGTTTTATGCAAATCATAAAGAAAATGTCCCTCAATGTATTCCACATGTAAAGGGATCACTTTCTGCGGCATGTATCTGGCTAATGCGATCTTTTTGGGGTCACACACACACACACGCACACATACTTACGCAGAATGTATGCCGCATGCCACACCCTCTTACGTGCTATTGCTTGTTGCCGCGACTGTTGCACTGCTTTCAAGGACCTTTAGTGGGTCGCTTGCACGTTGCACGCTGCACATTGCATGTGGCATGTGGCATATGCGTGACATGTTGGTGGCGGCGACGCCTATGCATATGCATTATTATTTTCTATGTGCGCGACTCAGCGGCAGTGAAGTGGCAGCTAATTAGCAAGTGACATACATTCCCTCTGGCAACACGCTTTCCCCCTGCAGCTACAGTTACAGCCACCCGCCCAAAATTGTGGCAAGAGGACAAGTGGGGTCCAAAAAGAGAGGTCCAAGAGAAGTATTATTGGATTCCTTCGTGAGGTATTTTAACCACACTTCATAGAACTTTTAATATTTTTTGTACTGGTTTTTTGCCACCTTAATTGGCCCCAGATCTAGCGCCAAATTCCCTTGAACCACTTTGTACATCTCCCATAAATCGAAGATACTCCAAGAAAATGTAAGCCTTCAATTTAAATGAATTAAGTCAAGTCAATTTGCATTTAACTGCATTTAACTAATTTCTATCAAAGAATTTATATCCATGGAATGCAGAGAAAGGACGAACAGCTTTGGCCCTTTGAGCATATCCAACTGTTGTGCATCTTGTTTATTTCTTACCACATCAAAGAACCTCAACAAAGTGCAAATTTATCAATTAAGAACAAATATTCAGGCTGTCAAGAACAGATTTCTCACAAATTGATTGAATAAAATAAGGAAATTTGCTCAATTATCAAATGAAACTAATGAGTGCATGGATGATTAGCCAGGGAGCGAGTCTCAAACGGAAGTGCAATGAAAATGTGAATTTGGCATAAAATAGAAATGCAAAGAAGACGGATACAGCGACCTGGGGCGAAGCCTAGCCAGTTTAAGTGTAGAAATAATTGAAATACTCTAATAATGTGCTTAAATATATTTTCATTATTTTGACAAGCGAATTTTCTGGTTCTAAATGTATTTTTCAGTAATTTAGTGCACAGTTTGCCCACACACACACATACAGTTTTTCCTAGAGCCAAAAGCATATTCAACTTTGACATTTGAACCTCCTCACACACACACACAGTAAAAGCGAGCGATAGCGAGAGAGCTTTGCTTCATTGACTCACAACTTGATTAGTTGCCGGGACAATTTTGTAGCGTTGTGTGGCACGTTGTAGGTACATACGTGGAGACGACGAGAGACCCAACAAAACATTTTGTACAAAATAATTACAGAGCCATGAAATTGGATTGAATGAAATGCCATTTTCATGGAATTGCTCGTACAACTTTTTTCCCCCAGTGCCAAGTGTACAGTGTGGCCTTTGCCCTCTTTCTACCTCGCTTTGCCTTCCTCTCACTCGTAAAGTTTTACTCTCATGTGTGTGGGAAATGGTAGAACACGAGACGCTTTTCAAGCTTTTTTTCCTCCTTTTTTGTGCGAGCAAAACATTAATTAAATGCTCAGTCAATGGCATTAAATTGTGCGAACGACATCGGGAAAACAGTTAACAATGTTTATAGATGTATGGATCTATAGATACATTTATCCATAGCTATAGATACATCGAACTAAACTTTTGGGCGGACGCTCAAAAATCATTTATTTAAAACAGTTTGAAAACAAAACGAAGGGCAGGCAAAAAATTTCCCAAGAAAAAAAAAATTTTTCATGTTAAATTTGCTGGAAAAGTCAACCAAAGCAGAACGTGCCAAAGGGTGGCAGAGGGTCAAAAGCAGGTTGCAAATGATGAAAACTTTGCCCATCATAAACGCCATTTTATGTTATCCAATATGGCGTCACTTTCGTCTCCCCTTTTTCTCTCTCCACGTTCTATCAAATTTTCACTTTTTAGTGTTTTGGGTGTAAAAAAGTTTCAACTTTTTTCAGGGTCTCTCCGCTAATCGCACATATTTCCACATCAATAACAATTACCCAAAAAATATATAAGAGAATGAGCGCAGCTTCCTCATTTGGTATGCGGAAAATTCAGATTTTCCACACAATTTGATTTGGGCAAACTTTACAGAAGGTTGCCAGAAAGGGTTTCCATGTAAGCAAAAGCGTTGCCAGATGGTTCACCGAAGCGTTGCCAGATGCACGCGGCGCTTCCTTCTTCTATTAAAATTAGCTTAAAACTCTTTAAAAACATAGAGAAACTTTCTGCTACTCTATGTAGAAAGTATTTGCCTTGGTTTGTTCCTTTTTCTTAGTGGAAAATAATTGAAGTCTTAAATAGATTTCCCAGGGTACGCATTCGCATTTGGCTTCGTGTGAATTCTTCTTTGGCTTTTGCCACGTTTTCATTTTCTTGCTTTATTTTTGGCATCAAGCAGTGGCAGCATCAGCAGCGACAGCCAGCAGCCTTTTGAGATTCGTTACGCTACAACGCCTCATAGATGCTGATGCCTCCTGCCTGTCTGCTTCTTGGTCCTTTCTTTCGTTCTCTTACGCTGAATGTGTGTATGTGTGTGCGCTATGACACATGCCTTAGAGCCTGCCACACGACTTGGCCTGGCTGCCAGGAGCCACTTGGCTAAAGTATTTTAACCTAAAATTTGTAAAAATAGCACATGAAGAGGCACAGCACAGCACAGCCTGAGAGATGTTGAAGTGGGCTGTGCCCTCTAGAGGAATGTATAGCGCCGTGTCGAGCGAGAGAGAGAGAGAGAGAGGAGTGTACAGAGAGGGGGAATGAGTCAAGAGCTATGCCCCGCTCTTGACTGGGGGATGCTATGAGATTTATCTACTGGGTACCGAGCACCACAGTGCGTATGCTTGATGCTTTATTTATTTATTTAATTTGCCTCCAAAATGAAACGAGTGTCCAGTGCCCCTCTCTTGCTGCCTTTATTAGTGTTGTGAAAGGAGAGGCATAAAATATGTTGAGCAATTTGTCAACAGTGTACAGAGTGGGCAGAGAGGGAGGGGAGAGGCATGTGTGTTGCCTGTAATGAAATGTCATTAACATTAAAACAACTTTCAACACTGAGGCCCTCTCGGATGGCGACGAACAACATTTGGCCTGACATTTTTTTTTTGTTGGTCCCCACAACACATTCATCTTTCTCACTCTTTATTACTGTCTCTTCCTCCTTCTCTCTTTCTGTGTGATTTTTCCTTTTATTTTTCCAGTGTGTGTGTGTGTTTGCTGAGAAATCATCAAATAATCATAAAAAAAAATAAAAAATATAAGGAGGAATTCAGATTCCGAATTTAAGGAGTAAAATACTTTCAAAACAAGATATTTCTTTATGCCAAATGCAAGGTCATCAGATGGGATCTAAAATATTTTTTATTTATTTTTGGAAGGAATAATCGCCAATTTTCTGTTGTTCTACCTTTTACTATCTCTTCCATGCACCTTTGGCAACCATTTGCCACGAATATAATATACCCTATTCCCTGCCCAAGTTACACAAAAAAGGGTCATCAAAAAGGCTGTCGAGATGGATGTGTGGACATTTATTATGATCAACATTTGTCGCCTTTTTTGCCTTTTTTTTCGTTGTCCCAGATTTTGTTTTGTTAATGAAAAAAGTTTCTACTCTCCTGCCCACTCTATTCGCCACCTCTCTTTCCCTTGGCTTGTCTTCCATTCTCTGCTCCAGAAATTGTTTGATGAGAGAGAAAATATTTTCCATTTTTTTTCGTGTCGTTTTTTTTTTGTTTCTCCTGACGACGCCTTTGACGGGGCTGGCTGGCCTTTGGCTTCATCAACTTTTCATTAATTTATTACACGCTCTTCGCTCTGTGTCCAGGTTTTGCCACGTCCATGACCCCTGCCGCCCCATCGACCCACCGAATTCATAATCATTGTAATTTCTGTTCTCTTTTTTTTGCTTTGTTTTCCTGTCAAAAAGATTCCTCATTTTGTTTCTTGTGTTCGCCTTTGCCTGCCCCCCGTCTACCGTTTGATGCCTTGTTTTCAATCAATGTTTTTATTAAAAAGTTTCCGTCCGGTTCTTGTCTTTTGTGAGCCATGAACTTTGACATTTGGGCGACAAATAAATGTGTTGACGGCATCTTTTTAATGATTTTTCTTGTGATTTTTCTTATAATTTTCTATGAATTTTCACTGGTTTGTTGTTTCTTTTTATTTTGTGATTTTGTAATGGTCTGCCTGATGTTTTCCTTCTCCATTTTCATGTTTGATTTGTGTGCTTTTCTCTGTGTATTTTGCTACTCCTCTTGCATGTCTGATTGGCAGATGATCTCTAATGTCCATGCTAGAGATAAGTGTGGGTGGGTGTAATGATGTGTAATCCCATTATAATGACTTCGAAAGTCACATAAAGGTTTTGGCTTATGTAAGGGAAGATTGGATACTCTGTAAAGAGGGGAGAAAAAATAATAATACTACCCATTGAAAATGATCTAGAATTTGTTGTATTTTTCTTGGTCAAAGGAATTTGCAGAATGTTTATTCTCATAATTCCTATCTCATATTCTTTAATCCTTTATTATCCATAAAAAGACTCTCAGTACTTATATTCCCCAGAGAATTTCCGCTAACTAACTACCATCATTCACTTGACCAAAACTTCCGTCTCTTAACGTACCTTTTTGAAGGGTATTTAAGGTTTCCTAAACTTTAGCTAAGCTTCAGTGAGGCTCCTAGTACTCGGATTTCTACTTATACCTTACGCTCGCTTCCTGCCTGCCTGACCCAAGTGTCTTTCTGTGTTTCCTCACGCTCCTTCGGGTTTTCCTGTCTCTGGCTGCTGCTGCCTTCCTTCCATACAAATTGCAAGAGCGCTCGCATCATTAGCTTTGTCCGAAAATTGTCACGTTCGGCACACGTGTGTGCGCACAAGCTGCATAATCCAGAGGCTCCTTATCCACTCCACTTCACTCCCGCTCTGTGGCTCCAACGTTTGGTTGCTCCTCAATCTACCTACCGGGGGGATGGGAATGGGAATGGGAATGGGAATGGACAAGTCGTCGTGCAACCGTAACCACTGTTAGTGGTTGCTATACTTCCTCTCCTTCACACCCATACACTTGCTCGCTTCTCTGTGCTATCTGCCATCTCTCGCATCTGTAGTTTGGGGTTTCTGTTAAACCCAAATCTTCACCGCCAATGCGTAAACCGCTAAGTGCTTCCCTTTGTTGCGTTTTATCCTTGTTCGCGTTGGCGTTTTCCATCTCCCGCACCTTCCTGTTGCTGCTGCTGCTGCTGCTGCTCTTGCTGCTGCTGTTGGGGGTAAACGGAAGTTTTCTATTATTGCCGCTGGCATTGAACAACACTGACAGTGTTTAGTGTTGGGCAGAACACAACCAAACAGAGCAGAGCTGTACCTCTTGTCCCCTCGTTATTTCTTTAGAATATTTCTAAACTCTGTTTCTTCTTCTACTTTCTGCGAGAGAGTGTAACGCCGCGTGCTGACGACTCTGCACATGAAACGTGCTCCGCATAAATCGTTTACTACTTGAAATGGGGAAGATTAGGGGTTAGGGAGGATTAGATGGAGGGGTTGTTGTCATAAGGATAGAAGGGGTTGCCGTGTACTTTGACCCTCTCTGCGGTGGAGCATTGCTCATGGACTTCCTCATTATTGCTCCCCTTTTCGGATTGCGTTGCTCTTATTGCTGCATTGCATTACCCAAAGATTGTTCTTTGTATGAGATATGATATAGTAGTTCTCGTAGTGCGTGGGGTTTCCATGAAAAGGGGTGAGATATGGGTAACAATCTGTGGTTGCTTAATCCTGATTTAGTTGTGGAGACAATTGTCTTCTGCTTGGAGTTTATCTTTTAATGGAAAGTGTAGTTTATATTCTCAATGCGTGGGGTACATTCGAGTACGTTTTGTGGTGTTTTCTGTTGCGTTTTTACTTTAATTTTGTAGAGTGTATCTGTGGATTGTACAAAAATCTTTGGGTATTTCTTTGTTTCTTCATTCTTTTCCATCTTTGACATATTTTTTGTTAACTTTTCTAACCCTTTATTTGCTTGTACTTACCTTCAAAAACTTCTTCATTCGATTTCCATAAGTACAACCCTAATCCAGCTTAAATTCTCCACCAAATTCGCTGGCACAAATCACTCCCCTGATATCTTGCGACTGTCACACAACTCATTTCCAAGATACTAACATTCCCAAAGCCATTTCCCATAGCATGCATTTTCTTTCCCCTTTTTATGGGTTTGGGGTATTTGCTTCTAACGATACGAAGCCAATGTCAAACGCTATGACAGAATGTCTGTATGTCCTGTCGTCTGTGTCATAATCAGGATGCAGTCACATCCCAATCGCAGTGGCAGTCACACAGTCACATTCCCGGACACACGTTGGCCTCCACACAGCCTCCCCCCTTTTTTTATTTGACATGCACTTAGCGATTGGGCGAGTTGGCAGTAAAGGCAGTGGTTGGAGTTGATAGTGGATTTCCATTTCTATTTCTACTGCCACTCGGCATTCCACACTCCACATTCCACATTCCACGCTCCCAGCAGCAGCATCTTCTTTTGGGGTAGCTGCTGTGTAGCATGCCACATGCGAAATGTATTATTAACTCTCGGCAATGCCTTTCTCTGACACATCCATTGATATGCGCACACATTTTGTGACTATGTGTCGCATGTGTTGCCGCCAGCTGCCCATTGACTACCAATGTGAATGCTGACACACACACAGGGACAGACACAAATGCAGATACAGGATGTGTGTGGGTACAGTTGGTTGTAAAATGCATAAAAAGAGTGCTTAGCATATTAAAAACATCGCCCGAAAAAGCATTTCCAGCTGCAGTTGCAACTGCAGCTGTGCTTCCCCCCTCCTGGGAGGCTGCTTACGTGCTCCATCGTGAAAAGTGGGAAAACTCTTTGACTGGTTATCTGTGATGTTCTCGGGGAAAACGAGAAAAAAATGTAAATAAAAAGAAAATAAAGAAAGAAACAAAGGAAGAGCAAAAATGTTGAATAAAATAAAAGAAAATTGAGGCAAAAGTTAAGAAAAAATGATGTAAAAAAGGGAGAAGGGGAGAAAAAATGCAGGCAGGAAAACTACCAAGAAGCCACAGCACACATGCAACATTGCAACATTTAAGGCAACATTTTGATTTATACGCAAGACACACACACACACACAGAGCACACACACAGCTACAACTACAACACTCAGCTCACACACAGCCACCACCTCGAGTGGTTGTGCGCCTAATGCATATGCAGCGCATTTTGCATACGTTTCCAATAATTCATCTTCGTGTTTTTCCGTGGCTCTCGTCTGTCTTTTGGCTGCTGCTTTTCTTCTCCGTATGCATCCATCCTTTTGGCAACTTTTCCCTGCCCCCCCCCCCCCCCCCCCTCTTATCGCCTTTGCTCTTGCTTTTTTGGCGCAACTTTTGCTTGCCTCAGCTTTCGCGTCTGTCTGTGCTGCCATTACCAATTTTTGCATATCTCTGTTTGTGCAGTAGCAGCAACCCAACCCAAGCCCTTACCCCTACCACACATGTGTGTGTGAGTATGTGTGGTGGGGGGGGGGGGGGGTGGCTACATTTTGGGAAAATTGGAAAATAGTTTTTACCCGTTTGCCTTCTTTTTTTTCTGGCTGTTTTTCGTTTCTTTTTATCGACTTATTGTGTGCTTTGACTGTCTATCGCTGTCTCTGGCTGTGCCACGCCCCATGCCAAAGCCCACATTTATCAGTGTGGGGGCGGGCTGGAGTTGCAAAAGAGTCCATTGGCATTTGTAGATATGTTGCAAAAGCGTACGGGAATGCTGTAAGTGCGTCGAAAAGGGTTGTGGGGGAGGAGGAGTCGTGGCAGGCAGGGGGTTTGGGTTGGCTTTGGCTTTGGCTGCAGAAGGGTTGAGCGTTTGTCACATGGAACTTTTGCTTAAATTATGTGCAAAAAGAAGTTGAATAATACAATGATTTGTAGATAATTTTATGTGTTTGTCTGGTGTAAGAAATTGGGAAAGAGAAAGATAAACTGATGAGGAAATTTTCTGTGTATGTTTGTATGTAAAAGTCAAGAATAAAGCCATTGAGATCTATCAGGTTGTATTAATCAAGCATAGAAACAGTTTATTTATCCATCAAGCTATTTTATAGCTCATTTTAATATGATTTTTTGGGGATTTTTACTGACTTTTCTATCTGTACCCGTAGCCTCACTCTCCCTCTCACTCTCCCTTTCTCTTGTCTCTCTCTCTCTATAGCTACCATTATTTTCTTTCTTATTATTTTCAATTGCTTTATTTGCATTCTTCTGTACATATCGCATATTTCTCTGGAGTAGCAGAAGCTGCCGCAGCAGGTTGCAAGGTTGCAGTCCGCAGCTGCTGCCCCGTTTTATGGAATGGCTTTGACTGGCTAACTCCTTGCCACTGGGCTACACATTTCATATTCAAGATTGTGTCTGTCTCCACCCGCTCCCATTTATTCATCTCAGCTTCTGTCTCATCCTGAGGGCTCGCTTCCTGTCTCGTCGTCGTCGTCGTCGTCGCTCCAAAGCCCTCTCCTCAGTCGTAAGTAGTTTTTTCCTCGCATTTCCCAATGGCATTTCCCGCACTCGAACTTTTGGGCATTCGATGCATTCGGCATTCGCTGCTGTCCTGCCGTCTGCTGCCGTCTAAGAAGTATTGATAGCTGGGACTGCTAGGCTACTTTGGCAGCTGGCTTACGGGCTCTCCCTGTCCCTGTCCGTCGCCCCAACCTTTTGCTCTTTACTCCTTTATCCTAGTGCTCTCAGACTGGAAAAGTATTTACGTTAAATTGAACTTTTGTGTTTGAATTTTCGTGCGGCAAAAACTTCACTTCACTTCACATTGCGGCTTGTCCTTGTCGTCTGACTGCCGCACTCTTGTCTTCTGCTCCATGATCCGCCATTTCGGGATATTCATTTCCCCTTTCCCCGTCATTCCTGCAGCCAGATAGTGTCGACATTTTCTCGACGTTAAGCTATTTTTATTAGAATTCTCTTCCCAATCCTTTCTCAACGCTGGAGTGAGGCTAAATAAGGAGTCCTTCGGTCTGTCTTTGGGCTGCTTGCCTTAGGAATTTCATTGGAATAATTACAAAATTATAAAGCTGCTGCTCTTTTTTTTTGTATCTCCTATTTGTGGTCCTCTCTGTGGAATGACCGCATTCCAAGCCAAATTAAAAGCCAAAAATTGCAGCACAGAAATCTGTGCACTCTTCTGCCCCCCTGCCCCCTGCCTGCCGCCTGCTGTGTTGCTTTTAATTTGGCGAAAAATGCTTAGAAAATGGAACACAAGAATTAAATCAACATAAATGTTGCCCCTATGGCATTCAGCCTGTCTCTAGTGCCAGTGGCAGACACTTGGCTTTGGGTTTTGTCTCTGTGGTGAGTGTTCCTCGACGAAGATGTTGGTTCTGCTGGCTGCAGGAAAGTGCAGAGAGAGAGAAACCTCAGGGAATAATTGCTTTAAGAAATGTTTAAAAAGGTGAAAGAAAGGTAGAAATTTGTAGAATATAAAAACCATTAAAAGAGGGTCTAATGTGTGGAAACACTGCCTAAAATTCTGTGATATAAAAACACTTCGAAAGCCTTTAATCCCCTCAAAATGCTGGCAAAAACTGTGCCAAAAGGGCTCCATAATTCTCCCGAAATACTCCATAATTCTCGACCTTTCTTTGAGTAGCAATCTTTAACCATAAACCAATGGCCGAGGCTTTTAGCCAGCTGCACAACTGACAATCAATGAAATGGCGACTTGCAGCAGCATTGGAAGGAGCAGCAGCAGCAGCAGCAGCGGTAACTCTAAAGTGCTGTCAGACAGCCGGGCGTATGCTTAATATGAGGCTAGAGCGCTAGAAAGAGAAGGAGTTTGAAGCAGAAGATAAAAAATAAAGCATAAGTAGATAGATGAGTGGCTGTTGCACTGCTGCTGTTGCTGCATCTGCTAAAGCTCTGTGTTTAGGAAGCGCCTCTACTGCTGCCTGCCTGCCGCCTGCCGCCTGCTACTCTGGAAAGTGGAAAAATCCGAAAGCCGGAAATGAAAAGTGGCATGTATGTGAGTGCAGCAGTAGGAGGGGCATGGGGTGTGCGGGTTTTGCAAAAGCGCAGCTGTAGCTGTAGCAACACTTTATATCTATCTCTGTATCTGTGTGTGTCTGTCTCTCTGTCTCTCTGTCTCTGTGATTTGTAGCTGTATCTCTCTGTGTGTGTGCATTCCTCTCTTTGTATCCCTATGTGTGTGTGCGTGTTTGTCTATGTAATGAGGGCAATTTAAGGGCCACTTGAAGCAATTCAATTCTCACACACACTCAATTCTAACGGCTCTTTCCCCTCCCCCCCCCCCCCCCACTCGATGTGTGTATGTGTGTGTCCTTCTGTCTAACGTGTGTGATGGGTGGACTGAGGGTTTGGGTGTAGGTGCCACAGACGGTGGCAAGTTTTTAGTGTTATTAATATGCCATGCAATGCATATGCCCCCGCATGCACTCTCTTCTCTCTCTCTCTCTCTCTCTCTCTCTCTCTCTCGCTCTATGTGTGTGCAAGCCACCGCCGCCATTTTGCTTGAAGCGTGCTAGTGCACAGCAGCCGCCTCCTTTTTGGGGTAGCAGCACCCAGCAGCTGCACCCAGCACCAGCTGCATCCATCGAGTGGTGCCGCTGCTCCTCTACTGCTAGTAATATTAAGTGCCGCCTGTCCGTCCTCGTGTCCATGCCACACGATGGGGCCAAGGGGTTATTAACCCATAAATGGAATACATGTGCTTAATTTTTTTCCCCTACTTTCAAATGAAAAGAGAACGAGCAAGTGAGAGGGCGAGTATTAAGCACTGAAATTTCCCTAGGATTAAATGCATTAATGGATTATTCTTTGGGTTTTTTCCACCACACAGATGTGCTTGCTGGCCATTTTCCCTTCAAAACTGAGGTATGCAAACGAGTTCGGACAGAGTTTGTACGTGTTGGGTACAGAATGGGTTTTTTAAACAACAACAAGTTTTCATTTTAATGCGGAAAATGTGCATTTGCATAAACCTGAGGAAAAGGTGCGACAATTGGCTTTGTTTTTACATTTATTCAAACTTTTAGAATATTTAAAATATTCTTTATTGTTGAAAATGCATTCCACTGAGAATAATCGCAAGTAAGGCATTTGTTGGGAGAAAGATGCTGGGCTCAGACCTTGTGAGCCCTTAGATCTTGTGTGAAAAGAGGCTAAGAATAAGATTTTTCACATAAAGAGGCTGAGAAAGTGCCTACAAAAGGAGATCTCTGGCAGAGGAAGGCTGAGAAAGAGCCTTACTAATGAGATTTCTAAGATAATGCGTGTCTGTGGCTTTTTCTGCCTAAGAAATGAAACATTTTGGGAGCTTGCAAGTATTTTCATTTCATTTAGAGCACATGCCAGAGAATGAGAATTAAAAATTATACTACCATCAGACAATGAAACACACAACTCATGTGTATATTCCTATATTTCTCTTGTTTCCTTAAGTACATGCATTGCATGTGTGAGTGTGTATCTGTGTGCCCGCTCCTCATGTCTAAAACTCAAATTCGCTTTTGTAGCAGTAAGGTTTTTCTTCTCTACTCAAAGTAATTTACACTAAATTACATGCGAACAAGCGAAAATGAGAAAAGCCTACAAAAGAAGACTGTGTCGCTGTGTGTGTGTGTGTGTGTGTGCGTGTCACAGCAGAGCAGCCGGAAATGAAAATAATGAAGCGCGCTTTTGTGCGCACATGAGACAAGGAATCAACAGAGGGAGGAGGGCCTAAAGAGACAACCCGGAAAGAGACGAGCACCCACTCCTCAGTTGGGACCCCGCGAAATTGTTCCTTTTTTGTTCTAACCCTTTCTTTTTCTTTCTCTTTCTCCATCTTTTTTGTGTGTTGTGTTGTGTTTGCTCTGCCTGCCGTCTTGTGTCTCGTTGTCTGTCGCACATTTTGCGCACGTTTTGTAAATTTGCTTTTCATTCAAATAATGCGCCAAAGAAAAACCAGCTCACTGAGGCAATCCACTCGACGCGCACTCTTTGCACTTGCACACTGTCGCCCCTCATGTTTAAGCAAAATTTCAACAAATTTCACTTTAGTTGTTAATGAAATGTATACAAAAAAAAAAGAAAGGGAATAAATTAATGCAAAGGCACAAGGAAGAAAAGATTTCAAGGGCTGCCAGCAAAAGTCCACAAGCAAAAACCTTCTTCAAATCAATTCTGATTCAATTGATGAACCTTTTTCGGGCAAGGCATTAATCTTTTTTTTTTATATTTTGGGATTGTTCTTTTTTTGTTTGATGGCGAGTTCTCGAGAATCATTAACCGTCGTTGACCTTTGAGCACACCAAAAAGCTAATAGCATTACCAGAAAACCGCTCAACAAATCTGGACTTCCTCTTTTAGCTGCCACAAAAAGCTGCTTACCTTCAAGGACCGCAGGACCGCAGTTGTGTTTTCCCTGACTCTGTTTAATTTCCTTTCCTTTTCATTTATTTTTATCTGCACGTTGACAATTGTTTTTGTGTTGGTTTTGTGCTTGTCCCAAAAAAAAACCGATTTTTGTCCGGTGTCCTTTTTAAATAAACATTAATTTGTAATGCCGGAATGACAGAGCATCCGGTCGTGTTTATCAGGCTAAGAATATATGTGAATGTATGGCAGGATCAGGATGTATTTATAGGACATCACATCACATTTTTATTTGCATTTTATATATTTTTACGATGGGTTTTTCTCATCAATTGACAGCTGCTGTCCGTCTGCTGCTGTTTGCAATGAACAGAAAAATGTTTGTGAATTATTAAATTGGCATCAAAATTTTTTTGTTGACTTTTTATTGCTTTGTTGTTCAACATTCTGTGGCAGGAACACAGAACACTGCCTGCTCTTACAGCTCATTTTCTGGGGCATGTGCTGTAAATAATTTCTATCTTTTCGTAGAACAATTTTCACTTGACTTTTTCACATTTGCTGCTGCTTCTCCTGCTGCTGCTACAGCTGCAATCCTGCTGATGATGGATTCTTATACATAATGCATGCCCGACTCTGACTGATTGAAAATTCCAAAGAAAATTTATGTTTTTGTTATGAGTGAGTTCTGTGAAAAAGCGATGAGCAATTGGCATGACAGCCGAGTGGAAGAGAGAAGGGATTGGAAAGCGCCAGCCAAGCCAAGCTGCTGCCTGAAATGTGTTCTAAAATCGTATAAAATCAACAGTTGTTCTAAGCAGATGTTGGAAGATGTGTGTTGAAGGGGGAAAGTGCTTAAACTAGACAGGCAGTTGATGTATTTGCGAATATTTTATAGTCCAGTGCAAGTTATAGAGTTTTATAATATAATTTTAAGTTTTTTACAGCCTCAAAATTGGCTTAAGCGTGTTAGATAGTTTGTTGAGATCGTGGTCTTTTGGTTAAAAATTGTTTTAGATTGTTGTCAATGTTGAAATTTTAGCTCATGTTCTAAAACAGGTACTAACCTGTGCTAAGTGTATGTAACTACCTCAAATTAAGTTGACAGTCTGACAGTTGGCCATAGTTTCCCCTAGAATTTTGTTGTATTTTGTGTAAACAAAACTTTAATGCTAAAAGTTTTATGCGGCTTCGCCTGCATTATATAGTCAATCCACCCACTTGCTGCAGCTCCTGTGCAACCAATCGATTACCTTTCTAAAGTTTGCATTGGCAACCAGCTCCACCCAATCGATATATGTATGTATGTATGTAAATATGTATGTATGTATGTATGTATGGCAAAAGTTGTTGGCCTCAACTTGTTATTTTGTTGTTGATCCCACAAATTGTGTGTGAAATTCAAGAATTTTGTTTATTTTCCACCTCAGCAAATCTGACCTGACACGACCTCAACCCGCAGCCCTACCCCTACTGTACCCTGACTTTCCCTTCTGACAGCTCCTCCTCCTGCTCCTGCCTGTACCTTGTGGCTGCGCCATCTCCACCTACCAAACAAAAAACTTTACGCAAACAGACAGCAGAAAAGGCAGCTTGGGGGCATGTCAATGATAATTGCATTGCAGTGCACCGCCCCCGCCTGTCCCTCCCTGTGCTCCTGTGCCACCTGCCCATTAGCCAGATTTGTCAGACACAAAACCTGACCAAGTCATGCATTATCCTTTGGGTTTTTGCTATTCAAATATTGTTAGCTTAACCGAGTTGTCAATTCCGAGCCAATGCTTCGCTCCGCCCGGCCCTCCTCCCTGACTTTCCGAAAGACAAACAGTAGCCAGTTGTAGTTCCTCCCACCAATGCATAGTTTTTACTCCTACTCCTGCTCTGGATTCTGTTTATACAGAGGTTGGGTTTCCATTCTGTTGGATCTGCTTTCCTTTTTTTTTTAGTCTTCTTACCTGCTGCTCGGCACTCTGCTGTTTGTCGTAACCTGGTCACACACAGAGAGAGTAGAACCGGCAGCAGAACAAACATTCATTCAATTGAATGATTTTTGCAACATACAGCAAAAAGAGTGTACCAAAACCCAGAGTAAATTCCAGAAAATCCACAGAAAATTAGTGTACTAAGCCCAGTGCCAAATGTATAGAAAAAGACTACACCAAACCCAGCGGAGACAGCATCATCATCATCATCAGCAGCAGCATCATCAAAAGGATCAAAAGAGCAAAAAGTGCATAAACTTGAGCGATAAGGTTTTAGTCCCATCATCGCTGGCTGCCAATAATGTTAAAACTTGATGAGTTTGTCGCTCCAAAACGGATTATAAATGAGGTTGCTGAGCTGGTCACGCTTTTTGTAGTAGCACATCCTGTGGCTATTGTTGTGTGGTGAGCGGAAACTGCCACATTGTCTGTGCCTTTGTGCCCACGTTTTATCAACACTTCCCGTCATTTGATTGTGGCCAGAGCAGGGGGCACCCATCATCAACTCTTCTGAACTCTGAACTCGCTCTCACTTTGTGGATTGTTGATTTTTGCACATGTGTTTTAGAGGTCCACCCCTTAAATGTCAATATTAGAAGATGGCTAATGGAATTGAAATTGAAATTGAAATTGTACGATGGTTGTACTCATTTTTGGTATTTATCAAAGCTTCAATGGGACTTGCACAAATATTTATATGAAATATCCAACGATTGCCGGACACTTGCTTGAATAATTTCCAATGGAAAATGTGGTTTGTCTTGGCCTTTCCTTTCGCCTTTGTGTGTCAAAAGAAGGGGAAAAACTTTGACCAAACACTCAAAGGAAATCACATAATTGGCTGGTTACTCCTGCTCCTCTGCTTCATCAATTAAATGCGGAAAAACTTATTGGTTCTCCACTCACGTTCTTGGTAATATTTCTCCTTTTGGGTAGCATCAATTAAAACACATTTTCCACCTCTAATTTGCAAGCAAAACTTGGCCAGACATTTCCTACCGTTTTCTTTTTAAATTGTAAAGAAAAGTTTTTGCCTAACAAGCGGCTGCAAAGACATTCAATTCCTTCGCTCTCTCAACCCGCTCTCCCCAGAGCTCGTAAAATCCTCAAATGCTGAAGACACTGGGCGCCAGTCAAGTCATAAAAACAGGCGTCATCGTCAACTGTAGCTCTCTCCTCTCTGCGTATCTCTCTCAGCATCTGCAATGGTATCTGTATCTGTATCTGTAACTGTATCCTCTGTATCCGTATCTGTATCTCTTTATACTTGTGTATCTTCCTGCGGCTGTCACTGCTGTTTCTGTTGCTGCTGTCTCTGTGTGGAAAACCATTCTGCTGTTGAGTTATATGCCAATTGGCAGTTCGCTTTCCATTTGACCACATAAATTCTTACCCGCTTTCCATACTGGCTTCATCTCCATCTCCTGCTCCTGCAATCCTTCCCACACACACACACCGACACACATCGTATCCTTGGCCAAAAAATGTGCGTTACTCGTACAGACGGAAAAAAATAAGTAACCAGATGTTGGGTCGTCCCACTGTTTCTGGCTTCTGGTTTCTGGTTTCTGGTTTCTGGGTTCTGGTCATGAAAGTTTAATGATTCCACGCGTTTTCCTTTTCCGCTGCTGTCACCGACAGGTCTGAACAGGATTTTCTTTCTATAAGGATTCTCTTTTAATGTTGTCGCTTATGATGCAAAATTGTTGCTGATTCGCTTGATTTTTATTTGCTTTTTATGCGTAAATATCTTTCAACTGCGGCCTCGGGCACTTGATACATTTTTGGTTGTCATAAAAGTTGTTTTTACCAAGGAAATTTAAGCTCTAAGTGGAGAAGTGTTCTTGGTGGTTTTTCTGAGTAATTTTTAAAGTATTTCTGCGGTGCAATTTTGTATTTATTTGCCAGATTTCCTTAGAAGTTTTCTTTATTTTACTTTTTACTAATGCAACTTTTTTCTGCTTTTGTCTCTTTTTAGGTGAGTACCAAAGAAAAACGCAGAGATAAGAGGATGAATTAAATATTGAGTAAAACAAAGAGAAGTCATGCTCCTTCAGCTATAATTTGCACAGTAAAAGCTTCAATCTATCCCTTAAATAATCCCGAAAAAACTATCTTCCTTGGCCTACCATTTCTTGATCTATTTGCTGCGCATAAATCTGTGTGCATAAAACCATAAGGATCATATTTTCCGACCTGTCTGTTGCATATTTAAGGCTTAAAATGTACCTGTCTCCGTTTGTGTTTGTGTTTTTGTGGTGTTTCTTTCCGTTTTAGTCGGCATCCCGATGTCCAAAGCAGGGTACATTATCCATTAAACCAAAACTGCCAACCGCACATTTGTCAAAGCTAATTGCCAGAGCGAAGGCCCCATTGGAGCTGACACACGCACCTTTCCTTTCCTTTCCTTTCCTTCCTTTCACGGTAACTGAATTATGGGTGGAGGAGGGCGAGTGCCATGCCTGTGTGTGTGTGTGTGTGTGTGTGTGGCTGCTGCTGCTGCCTCAGCAGGATACCGACACCACATCCACATCCACACACAGATACTCATACGCATTCATTCTGAATGGCATGTTTGGATCTTTAATGGCCAAAAACGCCTGCACCATGGTCGATGCCTGTCCCGTGCCCTGTGGCGAGATATTTTTCGGTTGAGATTTTTGTCTGTTTCAGAATTTTCCTCATAATTTTTACCCAAAAACACGCACATTCCATCTATCGATTTCCCTTGAAACTTGTTGAGATTGGGAGTCTCGGTGGGCACTTCCGTCCTTCCTGCTATTGGCTGCATGTAATTTCATGTATTTTTAATGCAGGCCATGAAAATACATATATATATCAGAGGAGTGTGCCGAGAGACATTTGAGAAACATTAATCAGGTTTAAAAGGTGGTTTCCTGGTACATTTTCTACCTACCAAATCCACAACCGAAAGCAAAGCCATTTGTTAGGTAAGGCAACTAGTTAGTGGCTCTCTCCATCTATCCACACAACTGAAACCTCTCCTCTCCTCTGCCTGATTGCCTCCTCCTCTTGGGGTATGCGTGCGGCAGCCGACTAATAGTTTTTCCTTTTTTGGTTGGATTTTTGGGTACTGTGCTAAATCCTTGGGGCTGCTGGCAAGTGCGATTTTGCAGCCTTTGCTTGTGGATATTTTTCATTGGCCACTCACGCTCCGGAAAACCCTTTTGCCCCCTCTTGATGATGGTGATGCTGATGCTGATGCTGGTTCTGCTGGTAGCCAGACTGTTCTGCTGGTGCATTTCTCTCTCTCATGATTTAGCTGTGGCATCATCGTCCTCCTCGTGGCTTGTCTCTTGCCTTAAGCAACAATGTCACCATTTTTCGGGGTAATCCCCTCCAGTTTTCCCCCCTCAATCCTTCCCGCTTGCCATGGAAACATGCAAATTAGAGAGAGGTGAAATTGCACGAAATGAGTTTATACCATCATGAGGCGGTGAGGCTTTTGGGTGTTCTTCTCTATGCTATGCGTAGCTCTTAAACATATTTACATGTCCTTCCAGGTGTGTCCTCCTGGGGGGTGTGTGTGTGTGTGTCCTGTCCACAGGATTCTTTACATGCGTAATGATCGAAACAGTGGCTTAGATTTTGCAAGGGGATTTTGGCAATGGAGAAGCACATTTGTATGGTGTTAGTCTTGCTTTCGGATGTTTTCACTTGAATCTCCTATGGATAGAGTTTATGTGGGGATTTTGTGGATGAATGGGCACAGAACTGATGCTCCTTTCTTGAATATTACCATCAATCTATTGGTATGAGGTCATCTCTGACTTCATTTCAATGCGGAGTCTTTATGGAAATTGCATTTTCTCTAGTTCAAAGTTATTGTTCTGTAAACTTCTTCCTCGTTTTATCTCTTAGCGATTGGTTTCTATGATATAAGAATCTTTAGTTGATTCTTGTACATATCCATGGCTTATACGTTTCTACCCAGACCCCGATCGATCTTTAGCTGCTTCTATCAATTGTTTCCATACATTTCCATAGATTCTTTGGGGCATTCTTTATTTGATTTTACGTCGAATCGAATGATCTATCACAAATTCAAAGAAATCACTTTATTTATTCTGTACACAATTTTTCGAGGTTATTCAAGGTTATTCCCAGAATTATTCCATGCCACTCTCTTCTCAAATAATTTAAGGAATAAATCAAATGCTCTTCCCGTTCAAATATTTTATACTCAAAAACTTTGCTCCAACTTTTTGTTTACATAACTACCACCCCTCCCGTAGTTTCTGTTTCTCACCTCTTAACGGCGAGACGGAGCATGGAACCGACCCCCTGCCGACTAAGCCACTGGCCAAAACAGTCAAGAACCACTAACAAAAAAAAAAAATAACGAAACGAAACCACCTCCGGACGTAATAACAAAGCCTCTTGTCAGTGTGTGTGTGTGTGTGTGTGTGTGTGTATCCGTGTGTAGTAGTGTTGCAACCCACATATGTGCGTGCGTGTCTCACTCGGTATCTTCCTGCCGCCCCCTCGCTGTGTGTAACCTTGATGATGGTACCACTAGAAGAGGCGCCACTCGTGCATGGGTAGTTGTGGCAGAGGAGGCTTATAAAACGCGTCGTTTCGTCGTGTATGGGGCTACTTGTCAAGCGGTTGGTGGGTGGCAGGGCGGGCAGGTCTTGCGGCTACGTCTATAGGCAGCAATTTTACCAAATGCTTTCGGGGGTACACACACGGCCCATTGGCCATAGCCCATAGCCCATAGCCCGTAGCCTTCTGCTCCCCCACCCTAAAATGTGTGCGAAATGAGGGCTCGGGCTCTCTTTTTGCCTTAAACCTAAACCTCAGAGGCCTAGAGACTTGAAGCTTACTAATTTACACGATACAGGAAGAGGCTAAAGAAGGAGAGGCCAAAGAAGAGCACCTGAGGGATATGGGAACCAGAGACTACTGGAAAAAAAAGAGTAAAGTTCGCATAAACGTTTCACACAAGCTGATTTTTCGACCCACCAAATGACCATAAACATTGCTTGCGCTTAGGTTTAGGTTCAACGAAAAGAAAGAAAAAGAAAAGGAAAAAAGTATCTGCGAACTGCAGCAAAGTATCTTTTGGTGATGTTCTTTCTGGGGGTCTTCTATCTGCAATTCATAGTGCATAAAAAACTCTCGACGACAAATCCAGAGCAAGAACTGGGGAGAGAAAGAGAGAGAGGCTTTGGCTTTGCTTGGCTAAGTCTTCCTATGGGCACCACCTGCTCTCCCATACCTCCCTCCCCCCAGTGACTTGTCAAGCAACATTCCGTTTTAGTTTTGCTTTAGTTGTTCTTGTTGCTGCTGTTGCTGCTGTTTTGCAGTCAGGTTTTCAAGCTAGAAAAAAACCGTAGTAGTTGCTTGCAAAAAAATAAAATAAAAAATATTTTAAAAAAAACCTACAAAAATTCCCATCTTTGGTCACTGGAGGATGCTCGAAACTATTTGCACACTCCTCCGCTTCCTTCTCCGCCTATTTCGCTGCTGGCCTTTCTTTATTTCTTATTCGGTATCTCTCTCTCTCTCTTTCTCTGTTCTCTGACTTTGCTGTCTGGCGAGAGGGATTTGTGAGTTTGTATGTGTTCGCTCTTTACGGTACTTTTGTCAGTCGAACGGCCTTCGCTGGCATTTGGCAGGCTGCAAACACAAAAAAAAGAAACAGAAAACAAAAGCAACGGCAGCAAAAAGTTGTTTGCCTTAGGCCTCACTCCCACGTTCGGTCGATGTCGGATTCGGTCTCGTGCTTTGGTCTCTGGCTTCAGCTTCAGCTTCAGCGCCAGCTCCTCTCTCTCTTGCGCGCACTCTCTACTGATCTCCCTGCTGTGATGTTGTGTAATACTCCTGGTACCCTGTCAGAGTTGTCCCAAGGGATCATGTTTGTTGTGTAAAAGAATGTAACAAGAAAAGATAAATGTTTAAGATCTTATTATTAGAAATATTCTTGATGGAGAATGCACTTTTGATCTCTGGATTCATAAGAACTAGATTGAAATATGTTTCTAAAGGTATATCTGGGTGGCATAGCTTTATTGTACTTAATTTTTCTCTCTTATTGGGATGTTTATTATCCATCAATAATTTAATTTAGGTCCGAATAAAAACCACAAGTAAAAGTATATAATTTCTAAAAACTTTTCTCTTCCAGACACAGTATGTGACATTTTTCCTACAATACTCAAAGAATAAACCATCAAATAGGGTACTCCTTAGTCGTATCTCTCTTCTCATTTGGGCAACTTCAGCTCTTTTAGTGGCTGTTATTATTGCTATTGCTGTTTCTTTGTATTTTATCTACTCTTTAGTAGCATTTTCGTTTTTGGTTTCAGTTTCGTTTCGTTGGCCTTTCAGTCCCTTTGTCCTTTGGATTAGTTTTTCCTCTGGAAACTTTCCTTATGGCCTTTTCTTATCCCAGACCCCTGCCACCCATCTGTGTCGCTTACACGCACATTAATTTTTGCCAAGACTTTGAAAAAGTTTTTCTAGTTTTTTGGAGCGAGAGCGAGAGATTTCCATTTTGCCGCCTGCTGTTGACATGTGCAAAATTCTTTTGAAACGGAGATAGACACAGAGAGTGCGAGGAGTTTTCTTTTTCAGAGCCATTTTCATGGCTAATTAATAATGCAGCAGAAGCAGCCTGCCACTCCAGACGCAGCTTTTGCCACAAACTGCAAGTACGGGCAGAAATTCCAACGCCCATCGACACCAAAGAAAAAAGTTTACGGGGGTTGGGTGGGGGCTACAATTAAACCGCAGAAACTCCTGAAATGCCGACAAATTCCCAATGTTTTTGTTTTCTACCGACAAAAAAGCGGAACCTCGAAACTTTTGCCGATACAAGCTGTTGTCTCTCACCCGCACCCCCTTTTCCCTTTCGTTTTTGTTTCTTGTTAAAGATTTTTATTGCCACCCACCAAAACAAACATTTCCTTGATTTTCCTTTTATATCTATTCTCTTTTTGCGGTTTCCTTTACAAGTGGTGTGTGTGGGTGGTTGAATGGGATTCCTTTAGCAAGTTGTTAATTTTTGGCGATCTGGCGTGAAAAGTTTTCTGTTCGTACAATAACATTTGATTCCTTGTGTTGTAAATGGAGTTTAGGTTTCTTGGGGATTATATCATAAAGTTATCACCTTTGCGGGGGACGAACGATGAAAAAGTGCTGTAAATAGGAATAGGTTCAGTGTCAATGGGGGGGCTTGTTGGTTTAGCTTTAATGGGGGATTTTTATTCATTGAAGTGTTGTTTTTTATAGGGTAATAAAGGAGGAGGCTACTTCCAGAACTAAATGAACACCACAAAGGTTGTGAACTGTGATGTCAAACGTTAGCTCAAACCAAACTCTGGCTCGGCTGGTACCTTAAAAAACACCGCAAGAAATAAGACTGCGGGAACTGGAACGTATGGTTCATTGATAACAGGCAGGAAATCCATAATTTTTTGAAGCATAATACCTGCCGTTCCCAATTTAAAATCTTCTCTAGCCTAAAACATGATTTTCTTGTGGTATTTTATTAGAAATCACAGAAACAGTAATCTTTCCTTGGTATACTAGGGGATTATCTGTAGCATAAAACCAACAAAGTTGGAGAAAAATATACCGTATGGGAGCGACTAACCGCAAAACATATTTAGGCGCGCTCTCTCTATTAGAATAATTTTTTACCCAAAAGATACTTCGGTCTGGCAAGCACAGAAGGAAGATACATGAAATAGCCAAGCAAAGAAGAAACAGAAAACACAGCGAGAACGGAGAGCCAAAACAGAAAACGACTAGGAGCCAGGCTTCGCAGCTGCAGTCTAGCCAGCGCTGACGTTGACGTCGACAGCGACAGCGACAGCGAACGAGAAGCAAGCAACCGGCAAAATATTTGCAACGAACCGGCAATAGACGGAGACAGAAGCGACAGACAGAGGGGGAGACCTGGAGTGAGAACCTGACGGGCAACTCTACGACATCTGCTTTTGTCTAGCCAAAAGCAAAACCTGTCCCTGTCCCACACCGCTTTGACTCCACTGCTGGAGTTGCAATGCAAGAGAGCGGCAAACGATAACAGTAAAAAGCTTGCCAAAGTCGTCTGCATTGAGAGAGCAACCGCACTCTACGCTGACTGCAGCAGCGACAGCAAACTGCAGCAGCAGCAGCAGCCGCAGCGACAGCGATGCCAGACAACGGGCTCTCGACTCTCCTCGACTTCAGCTCCAAAGGCGGGCACGTTCGGCAATTAGTTGAACTTCGTTGCTCGGGCCGACGAGACGAGAAAACCGACCCCAAAAAAACATACAAAACACGACAAAAAGAGAATAACAAAAACTACAACGGGCGCGCAAATAAAATACAAAGTAACTCCCCTTTAAAATATAGAAAACGTGAGAGAGTGAGAGAGTGAGAGCCAGATAGAGTCATAAATCACAACAATTTGTTATAAATATTTGCAACAAAACAGCAAGAGAGAGAGAGAGAGACAGAACCGGTGCTAGGGTAAAAAAGTGAATTAAACTTTTAACAACTTTGAACTTTGATTGCAACAACAAGAACAAAAGTTACAATGAATGGCAACCGGCATTTGTCTGTCCGTTTTTCTTTCCCCTTCACCATCATTCCACATTGCACTGACGACGCCCCTGCTTTGTGTTTTGCCGGCTGCGAACGTTGACGCTGGCGCTGGCGTCAACGTTGTCGACAAATTTATTGATTTTTTCAGCCGCCTCTGCCGCTGTCGCTGCTGCCGCGCTGCCATTTGTGTTGTTGCCACTTTTTTTTGGCCATTTTAATGCCTCTCCTTCTGTCTCTCTCTTACGTATCAAATGTTTTTTTATTTATAGTTTTATTAAATTCAAAGCAAACGCAAATTGTTGTTAAATCCAGGAAAGAAAAAAACGGCGCTTCCTTTTAAGTGCTTTGGTGTGCGTGTGCGTGTTTCAGTTTTGTGCGAGTGTGTGTGTGTGTGTGCTTGTCTGCCAGGCTTGCCACCTTTTAAAAAAAGAAACAAATAAATAAAGCAAAAATCCAGCAAAACATTTTTTTGTGTGGCCACTCCCAAAAAACATATTGTACAAAATAACTCCAGCGTACAGCGACTGACTGGCTGCAGTCACAGCGCTCTCCTAAATCCAGCAAAAGTGCAAATAAAAGGTAAATAAATGATGGGTGGGGTGAAAAAGTGAATGGATAGAGCCAATATTGGATACAAAAAATTAGAGGAAAGGAAAGGGTTTTCTGAAGCTAATTAGTCTTTGTAGATCACATAAAATGATTTTTTACTATTGGAAGGTCACATAAAAATCAATTGCATATTTATGAGCAACTGTTTTCGATGATTTTTTCAGTTAAAAATAAAATGTTCCATGGGAAAGTAGTCGGGAGACTGCTTTAGAACAATTTCCGTCCAAAATAACTGATAGAAATAAGAGAAGACTTTTCACGGA